AAAGTGTTAATGGTTCTTAGCTTAAACTAGTTTCTTGGCTTTACTCAAATTTCAATTCAGTTTTTTTAAATCTCTTTCCTTCCTTCTGTGTTCCCTTCCCCTGCTTTGCTTCTCCTTCTCCTCCTTCTCATTCCTATAACCTTTTTGGAGAATGAAAATAGAAAATGGGAAAAATGCTATTAATGATTAAATTGTTTTCACCTTACATATAATTCCTAAAAATTATTAAGTCCATTAAAATGTGATTCAGTTTGACAAGTTTGTATTGATCCCACTGACATTTCAAAATGTTTCTTCTTTCTTCTGTAGCCATTTCCTAAAGAGTATGTGGGGTTTTTTGGTTGGTTTTTTAAATTCAATTGAGTTGGTGAATGCCAGCAATACACCAAGCACTGATATATTTTCCTGATATTGCTAGGTCTTTTTATTTCATTCTGAGTACTCCACTGGACAGTTCCTGTGTCACCCTTTACCCTGTGCCCCTTGGTCCCAAAAGGGAAAAAAATGAATAGAATTTAAATGTTTTTGCAAAGGAGAACTCTCAAATCAACAAGCATTTAAGTGCTTGCTATGTGCTAGGCACTATTCTAAGTGTTAGGGATACAAAAATAAAAAGGTAAAAAACAGTCTCTGCCTTAAAGGATCTCATATTCAGGGGCAGCTAGATGGTGCAGTGGATACAGCTCTAGCCTTGAAGTCAGGAGGACCTAGGTTCAAATCTGGCTTCAGACACTTGGCACTTACTAGCTGGTTGACAGTGGGCAAGTCACTTAACCCCAATTGTCTCACCAAAAAGAAAAAATAAAGGAATATATTTATTTAAGAAAAAAAGGATCTTACGTTCAATGGAGAAGTCAACTTGTATATACATATAGATATATCTATATATACATCTATATTTCTATCTATACATATATATGTATGTGTGTATATATATACATACATATGCATACGTGTGTGTGTATATATATGTGTGTGTGTGTGTGTGTATATATATATATATATATGGAGAGAGAGAGAGAGAAAGAGAGAGAGAAAGAAGATCTGCCATTAGGAAGACATTGGCAGCTGGGGTAAATGGGGATATGAGAAAGACCTCTGGAAGAAAATGGAATTTGATCTAGTCATTACCTTTTTTGAACTTTAAATGGCAGAGTTATTAAGGACTTCCATAGTACTCTGGCATTTTAAGGGAATTAATGAGAGTTCGTGTGCTATCATGGTGAGAATACTGAACTTGAAGTTAGGAGAGCTCTCAGTTTGAATTCTCTCACTGACACTAGCTGTATGGCCATGGGCAAATGATTTACCTCCTTGAGCTTCAGGTACTTTATTTGTCATATTTTATTAACTAGTAGTTATTGGAAGGATAAAATATAAAGTGTCCTACAAGCCCTTAAGCCTATGTAATTATTGAATATTATTATTAATGACTATAGACATTTGGAAGTAGTAGTCATATCTGGTTTCAGAACCTACCTTAGGCAAATCACTTGGCCCCTCTCAGCCCTAATTTCCTCACCCATGAAGTGAGGGGTTGGAGTCCCAGGAGTGAGGAACTTGTGGCCTGGAGGCCACATGTGGCCCTGTAGGTCCTAAAGTGCAGTTTGGATTCAAAGGGCTGCACTTGAGGACCTAGAGGGCCACATGTGACCTCGAGGCTGCAGGTTCCCCACCCCTGGTTGGACTAAATGGCCCTTTGGTCTTTTAACTCTGAAGCAGGGGTGAAGCAAGAGTCAAAGGTTAATTGTAGTGGGGTATGTGTGTTTGTAGCTGCTTTTGTTCTTTCTGAAAAGCCTTCTGTAACCATCTCTCTAATTCCTTTTCGTTTTTCCTAGACTGTTCATCACTTTGAGAATCAGGCTTAAATTGAAATCATATAAACACTAATCTATCTTTTATTAAGTGCTCTCATGCATTCCTCCACAAACACCAATATCCATGAAAAACAAAGCGAGTAGAAAGGAAGCAAAGTATATTAACTTTTCCTAGACTCTGTGCTTGATTTCTCATTTTGTGGTAGTTTTTGTGGTTTGTTTTCATTCTCGAAGAGTTCCATGACGTCAGGGAGATGATAACGTGACTTGCAATTGCCTTTGATTTGAGTGAGGTAGGGCTGTGCAAAGTCACCGGCTTCACTTTCTCCTACAGAGCCATCTGGGTCCAATGGCCAGACATCAGTCAGGACGACTGGAGATGGCCCAGGATGCAATGCGAGACCTCAGCCCTTTTAAGCTAAGGTCTTTTCGGGTTCTCACTTTGAGTGAGGCAATTTCACCCATTCAGTGAATAGGCCCCTTGATTTCTCATTTTAACTATAGCCAGAACCTGTTGATAGTCATGGGCACATTAGGGATTCTCTCTTTTTCACCATTCTGCTTATGTGCATTTGATAAAATATGTCTAAGTGGGAAGGGATGGATTATTTCATTTTTTTGTATTTGGATCTCCAATGCCATGCACATTTTTGTTGTTCAGTCACTTTTCAGTCATGTCTACCTCTCTCACCTCTTTTGGGGTTTTCTTGGCAAAGATACTGGAGTGGTTTGAAAATTACTTCTCCAGCTCATTTTACAGGTGAGGAAACTGAGGCAAACAGAGTTAAGTGACTTGCCCAGGGTCACACAGCTAAGTGTCTGAGGCCAGATTTAAACTCAGGTTCTCCTAACCCCAGGCCCTATCCACTGTGCCATCTAGCTGCCCCAACTTATTGCTTTCTAATGGTGATATGGAACTGGGTAGAGTTCTGGGCTTGATGTTAGGAAAACCTGAATTCAAATTTGGCCTCAGATATTTACTAGCTATGTGAACTTAGGCAAGTCACATGATCTCTGCCTCAGTTTCCTTATCTGTAAAATGGGGATAATAAATAGTACCTACATTCCATTAATGTTGTCAGGATCAAGTGACAGAGTATTTGTAAAATGCTTAGCACAGTAATGGTCCTTAATGAATGTTTATTCTCTTTCCTTCACCTAACAAAACAATGCTTATGAACCACTATCATGAACTGTGAGGAAAACAAAAACGAAACCCTTTTTTTCTATATGATATTTACTGTGAATTTCTTTTTTGTTTTGTTTTGATTGGTAAATGCAAATAAATCTGCTAAGTATTGATATTATTTCCATTAGTATGTAAGCTCCTTGTGAGTAGATATTGCTGAATTCTTTGTACTTCTTTCACCAGTGCTAGGTACAAAGTAGGTGCCTGATATATGATTAATTGAGTGTTAATTTGAGTATTGGCATTCCTAGTCATTTTTAATAAGTTATATACAAGTTACAGGATAGTTATTTCTAGATTATTCAAGGCTGATAGTCTAGTTTTGCTATTTAACAAAATCAATTTCATTTTCCTCACTCCTTTTCTTTGCCTAGTGGCATAGAATATATAATTCCTGAGGCCAGTAACTTTTTAGTTTTCTTCTTTTTAACCCCAGCTCCTGTCATAATGCTTTGGCATAGCAGGCAATTATTTAAAGCTTGTTGGCTTGAATTTGTTATTTCTTTATTTTCTTGTGCCTTGGAAGGAATGTTCGATTTAAAGTTGGAAGAAGTGAAAGCCCTGTGTCTGCCTCTTAGTGCCTTTGTGACCTTGGAGAAGTCACCTATTCTCTTTGAGTTTTAGTTTCTACACCTGTAAAATAAAAGATGTTAGGACTTTCCCAAGATCCCACTAACTCTTAATCCATTATCAATCCTATGGCTGGAAAGAGACCCAACTACAGTTCTCTCTGTGTTGTCTTAATCACATTCTGATAATTTTTTAAAAATATTAGGGAATTAGGTTGAACTTAATGAAGAAAATGAGAATTTGGTGATGAGGACTTTATTTTTCCATCTGAACCTTGTTTATCCATTACTATAAACTATAAGTAAATTTACTCTACTAAACATTCTTGTTCATGATAAGAGTTTTATGATAATACACTGAAAAAAAAAGTGTGGGAGAAGCATAGAGACGCGTCCTATTGGCACATTAATAAACAAATCTTTCTGGATGTAGATCTTTGAACCAAATACTGAGATTGTGGAAAATACAAGTAGCAAGATAAAGAAGGGTGGTTTTTTTTTTTCCTCCCTGAGGGGGAGCACAGTTGGGACAGATTTTTTTTAGTTTTTTTTTTTCTGGGACAAAAAACAATTACAGCAGACCTCTATCTTGATTCTTATAGACTGATAAGTTTTACAATTTTGGATAATGCTCAGTCTTCCAAGAACAAATTGTTTTCTTTTTTAACTTTTTTTTTTGAGGCAATTAAGTGAGGGATTAAGTAACTTGCTGAGAGAGGGGTTACCTAGCTAGTAAGCGCCTGAGGCTGGGTTTGAACTGGAGTCCTCTTGACTCCAGGGCCAATGCATAAATAGTTAACTAATGGAAAACTGGTAATTTTCTTAGTTGCTAGTCCTTAAGGAGGAACCCAGTTCTCCTGAGTGTTTCCTGGAACCAAATAATGAACTACCTGTACAGTTTACCAGTGACCCTATTCCTCTACACACTTTTGAAGTTGTATATGCAATCTTTTTTTTTTTGGTAGGCAATTGGGTTTAAGTGACTTGCCCAGGGTCACACAGCTAGTTAAGTGTCAAGTGTTTGGTCTGAGGTCGGATTTGAACTCAGGTCCTCCTGACTTCAAGGCTGGTGCTCTATCCACTGCGCCACCTCCTATATGCAATCTTTATGTCCCATCTAGTCTTGATAAACTTGATGAATCAATTCTACGTTATGTTTGTTCATCTAATTAAAATTAATTTTTAATCTTACCTCACTAAAATGAAAGTATGTTAATCTACCTTTTAATAGCAGTTTTGAGGGTTTTTTTTTCAGGGTGAGTTAGAAATGATGGAGCTGCTTTATTTAGTCTTTTCTAAGAAAAAAATAACAATCAGAACGGATCTTCAACTTGATTCCTGTGAGTCAATGTTTTACAATTTTTGTTAGTGCCTAGTAACTTAAGAGCAAATTGGTAACTAATGGAAAAATGGTTATATTCTTAGCAGCCAGTCCATAAAGATGAACACAATTCTCCTGAGAGTTTCCTGGAATCAAATAATGAACCACTTGTAGAGTTCACCAGTGACTCTGTTCCTCTACACAGTTTGGAGGTGATATTTTCAGCCTTTATGTCCTGTCTTGTTTAATACACTTGATGAAACAGCTCTATATTATTATGTTTGGTGAACTAATTAACATTATTTTTGAATCTGATATTATTAAAATGAAAGCATGCCAATTTACCTTTTAATAGTTTTGTTTTTGTTTTTGTGGGGTGGTGGGAGAGGATGAATCGGGTTTGTTTAGTCTTTTCAAAGACAAAATAAAAATCAGAACAGACCTCCAACTTAATTGTTGTAGGCTGGTAAGTTTTGCAATTTTGCGTAATGCCTAGTCACCGAAGAGCAAATTATTAACTAATGGAAAAATGGTTATATTCTTAGCAGCCAGTCCATAAAGAGGAACCCAATTCTCCTGAGTGTTTCCTGGAGCCAAACAATGAACCATCTGCACAGTTTACCAGTGACTCTGTTTCTCTACACAATTTGGAGGTGATATATACAACCTTTATGTTCCACCTTGTCTAATACGCCTGATGATGTCATTTTTTTCTTCTTACATCACTAAAATGAGAGCATTCCAGTCTCCCCTTTAATAGCAGATTCCTGTCTCCAGTAAAGATTTCCCTTCAGGTAGCCGATTTGGTTTTGGGGTTTTTTTTGTTGGTTTTTTTTTTTTTTGGTGAGGCAATTGGGGTTAAGTGACTTGCCCAGGGTCACACAGCTATTAAGTTTCAAGTGTCTGAGGCCGGAGCTCTAAGGCTGGAGCTCTATCTACTGTGCTACCTAGCTGCCCCAAGGTGGCTGATTTGTTGCATGGCCTAATTGTTGAATATATAAATAATTCAGCATGTGACAATTATATTCACTTTAAAAATAATATGGTAAAAGTATATTAAATAAAGAAAAATTAAGGGTTGGGTTTACTGTTATTGTTTGGAGAGGACAGTATTGTATCTTCTAATGTGATAAATATGCAAGTTAATTCATTCTCTAATAACGAGAGTACGATTACAGATTAGTCTAATGTTTTTCAGACATGGAGAGATATAGACTGGCAAAGAGAAAGGAATGCTTCCTTAAGAGTCAAATAAAATGTGTGTTATTTTATATTTTTTCTTCTTAAAGAAAAATTCTTGAGAATTATATTCCTACTCTGAGAACAGGGACCATGTTTTTAGCATTCTTTTTGTGAGATTCTAATACACTTAGGTTCTTGATTAAATGATAAAGAACAGAGAAAGTGCAGACAGGGAGCTGAACTCATAGTTGAAATTAAAGTTAATTTGGAGTGGAACTTCTTGTAAATAACAATCCGGGTGATCTTTTAATAGTAGCTTCTTCTGTGAAAGATATTTCCAGTCTGTGTTCTTTGTTTGATGGGCCTCAGGGCGCTCTAGATGATGAAACTAAGAACCTAGGAGAATGTTAATTCTAAAGAGACATTCACTCCCTAAAATATTAAGTATAAAATCATTTAAGTTTCAAAAATAATCCTTAGATATAGCAATTTTTTGGCAAAGAACATCTTTAATTTTTCTTTTCTTTTTCACCAAAATTCCTTTGACTGAAATTCCCTGGGACTCTTGGAACAGAACTTTGTGAGTTCCATTAATAAATTTCAAGCCCTTATATTCATTTTGCAAAATGAGAGATTAGTATTTATTTTGCCAATATATTGAATGCCAGTTTAATCTTTCTGACCCACTACTGGTGCTTTTGATTTTCTTCCTCCTTTTGAAACCCACTCTTTCTAACTTGGAGCAAGAAAAACCTTTGGACAAATAAGATTTTTACTTAATTAAGAAACACAGTGTGGTAAAATGAAAATGTTCTAGATTCTAATTCCAAAAGTTCAAATACTGGTTCTGCCACTGACCACCTCTATGATATTAGGCAAAGTACTTAAGCTCCTGGGGCTCCTCATTTTCCCTATGCATTCAGTTCTTTTCTAGATCTGAATCTATGATTCTGTGAGTACAAGGGCTGTGAAAGTAACTATCAGTAGCCATTACTAGAGCATAATTTCCATCATTTGATTCAAAGTTATGGGCTTGATAACTGAGGGATATTGTTTTTCTCCTCCCAAGTGGGTTTGTTACTGACTTGATAAATGATCTATGTCAGTGTGTGTGTGTGTGTAGTATTTTGTAATGTAATAAATTTTGTAGTGTAGAGTGCCCTCCTTGAGGGCAGGAGCCATTTTATTTTTGTCTTTGCACTTCCAGTGCCTTGTTGCTCATCTCATAGCAGAGATTTAATAAATGCTTATTGATTGATTGATTGAATAATCTTACTTTACTTAATTCACTTGAATGACAGTTGGTGTTGGCTTACTGTCTGATCTAGTGCTATCTGGGAACATGGGAATAAATCCAAAGTCTACATATACTAATTTTATTGAAATTGCAGGTGATTCTCATCAGGGAAGACCTTTTGCAATCCCCAAACCAGGAATTATATTTTGCATTTTCCAACAGTTGACAAGCCATGAAGATCCCTGACTTTCACAACTTGAACGTCTCCATTCTAACAAAAGCATGTTCAATTATAGAGACAGAGGCATAAATAGTACCAAGATTTGTTAATAATAGTTACAGATATCAAGCAGAGAAGAAACTGGATATGTGTACAATTTCAAAGGAACTAAAGTTATACATTATGTATTGATATTCTTACATCATTAGATAATAATATTGTCAACAGCAGGACCTGTGAAAGATATAGATGTATATTTCTGCTTCCTTTTTTTTCTCATAACGCTTGATGAGGAAGTAGCAGTATTATTAGAATAAGAGAATCCGTATGATTCAATTTGTCTTGTCAAACAATCTGAGAGTATATTATAGGATTTTGTATTCATATAGATGCATTAAAAAAACTTCTTTTCAGCAGTCTGATGTTATTTCCTATGAGTTTAAAGTTACTATATATATATATATATATATATATATATATAATATATATATATATATATACATATATATGTGTGTGTGTGTGTGTGTGTGTGTGTGTGTGTATCTCCATGTCTCTGTATATAGTTTTAAGTAATAGTCAAATACTGTTCTAGAAAAAAAATTGCTGTGTAAATCACTGAAATGCTTAAGAGAAGCTGGCAAATATATGATTTTGTGGTCTTTAAAAAATTCAGTCAATAAATATGATCCTGCAAGAAGACTTTCTACATAAGTGTGCTTAAAGAGTATAATTCCTTGTTGTGATCAACAGAACAAAATATTGATTTTTGTCATCTTATTTCTTTTAGGTGGATTTGGCCTTTTCTGTAGCAGAGCTTTCCATTCAACAGAAAGTCAAGGAACCCAGTGCAGAAGAGGAAAGGAGGAAATGGGAAGAAGGGCGGGTGGACTACATGGGAAAAGATGCCTTTGCACGTATTCAGGAAAAATTGGATAGATTTTTACAGTAGTCTTGTCAGTTGTGTCTGCGTTCTAGCGCAAATGTCATTGTCATTATGTTCATGCTTTTGCAAAATGACAAAAAGTCTCTTCTAGCCCTTAGTAATGGGGAAGGCCTTTTAAATGATGTGCCTCTATTTATTTTCAGCCAACTTGAGTGCCTAAATACAAGTAGTGCAGAAAATTCAAGTCTAGCTTGAAATACCTGGTGACCCAAGATAAATAACTTCTAGTTTTCACTATTAGATCTGTACCTCACTTAATCTTGCCAGCAAAATGATTTAGAATAACTATAGACTTTTTGGTAAAAGTATGTATTATAACAGGAAGGATACCTAAAATGTAGACCTATTCAGGTGCAAAAATGTAGATGCTTAGTATAGTTGGAAATCATGCATCAAGCCTTGCTGTTCACATTTCTGTAATAATGCTAGGAGATGCAGTTGATTATATGGGAAAGCTTGATGATAAATGGATCTGTTCCTGTATGGTTAAGTTAAATTTCAGTAACTCACCTTTTTAATTTCACTTGCAGTTTTAAGATCTCATGAACTCTTTTGATGTCTCTGCCAGGAGCTCCGATTCTGAACATACCACATAGAGAGGTGTTCACCTGACTGATAAAAGAGTCTCTTTAGTGTTACGTAGAGGAATTGGCATAGTGTTTCTGAAGAACTCATATTTTATTTCAGTTTTCCATAGACCAGCTTATTGTGGCAATACCTGAAATACTGAGAGGAAAGTAAATTTATAGTGTCTGTTAAATTGTATCTCTTCCCTCCTCCCCTTATCAATATATATCTAAGACTCACTACCTCAGTTTTAACTAACTTATTTAATCATGGTGCTCTATAAACTCTTTCAACAGATTCCAAGGAATTCTCAGTTTTATGAGACTGATTGCTAAATTTTATGAGAAGTTCTCAAAAGAGTCTATGTTTCATGAACCTACCATGGATGTTGTTACATTTCTTATGACCACTGTTACAGACCAGGCACATTCATCATAATAACTAGGGAATTTCACCCTATTGAAAAGAGAGGGGAAATTAATTTTTGAAATTTTTAGTGGCTTATTTATCATAAGCCTACTGAAAAATGAATGACTAGTTTGCCATATATTTTGGAGGGGCTGGGAAGTTCACCTGTGTCCTGTGGTGTTTTAATTGAATCAGTATATTTGAAAACATTTGAGATCTCCCTGAGGTTGTTTGGTTCTGGGTCAGGGAGATCCAAATGAACTTTGAAATAGCTCTTTTCTGTTAGGGCATCAGTTTATCCAGGGAAGTAGGATTTAGAAGCTTCATTTCTGCTTAAGACTGAATGATGGCTGACCCAATCGTCCTTGCTAGTACCATATGCATATTGGTTAGTGAAAGTTTATTTAAAAACAATTTTAAAAGGGCATGAGTTGTGTGTCAAATATAGAACTGGTGATCTAATATTATTGGAAGTCCACCAGTACTAATTGTTTGAGAAAGGAATGAAAATATTGTGTGTTATGTTATTGAATAGTGGATGAAAATAGGTCTAAATCTAACAAATGAGGTGGAACACATAAGATGTGGAGTTAAGTGAACTAGCTTTATTCTCAGCTTCTTTTGTCTCTGGAGATGTGTGTCAACAGAGACAGCTAAACTGTCCTCTGATACAAATTAAACTGTGCAGGTCAATCTTGCTATGCTCTATTAGCATCAGTATTTTTCATCTCTTTTGAACTGTTCTCATTTAAAGGTTGTATAATCTACTTGTTTGTGCTTTGCATGTGTGTCCTGGGAACACAGGATGATGTTTTATGTTCAAAGGGAAGCAGTTTTATTACACATTTCCAAATTCTCCAAATAAAAAAAATAAGCAAACACATATTAAATGGATTTTTCATAACTGTTTCTAGAAATAAAATATCTAAAAGTGCTTATTTTTCAAATGACACCCACCTGAGAAAGCTGATGACTTTCCAATAATGCTTTTTCAAATTTTTATGTTTACACATACTTTTGGATGGCTCTATATAGACATAAGGAAGTTCAGAAGGACCCTGATATATTAATTACTCTGGTGTTGGAGATAATACATATTCCACAGAATTTCAGTGATGTAAGGAGATATATGTTGTATGTAAGTTCTTCATGTACACAAAAATATGATTCAATAGAAAGTGTCACTAAATCCATTTTATTATGAGGTATTTTAAGATAGGATTTTACTCTTCTAAAATTAATTAGCCCACTGCACATATTACCATTTTTCTCCAAAGGAGCAGTTGTTATTCCACCACTGTTTGTGAGGGTATCCATCTTTACTACACCTTTTATAGCATTCTGACAGTAATCCAGCATGCTGTGTTTGCTTATCTTATCCTATTCCTTTCTGATCCTTTCCTGGTGATATGGGAAAGAGAAAAAGTAGGTGAGAAAGTTTCATAAAGGAGGCCAGTCATTCTGACTATCCCTGGCTCTTCTTTCTTCTCTCATTCATTTTTGCTTTAAGCACTGGTTAACTCTCTAAGCATTTTCTAATAGCTGAACATAAATTGTTACTTGCCTATTCCACTCCAATGAGCTTTTATTAATTGCCTAGGTACTCATTATTGAAAGAGAAATTAAAGCAAAGTTCCTGCCCTTAAGGAATTTATATTCTATTGGGGGCTGAGGTATATACATAATTTGAAAGTGGAGTGGATTGCTAACAAAGTGGGGAGAATTTTCCTAAGAAAAGTTTCTTTCCAAGAAAGTTTTCCCATAGGAGGTGGAATATGATCTGAGCCTTCTGTGAAGCTAGGCATTATCCTAAGAGATGGCAGAGGCAAGGAAGCAGGGTATTTCAGACATGAGGCCTTGTGGAGAGAGGCATAGAGGCAAGTTTGGGGAAGAGGTAGAAGCTTGGTTTGGTTGAAACACAGAATGTGCTAAGGGTAGTCATATGAAATGAATCTGGAAAGGCAGGCCACGTTATGAAGGGCTTTAAATACTATACTAGAGAGTTTGTAATAGAAGCAATAGGGCACTGTTGGCATTCTTAAAAAGGGGAATGATAAAGATAATTTTTAAATAGAGCTTTAATGTTTACACTTTTATGTATGTCATCTCATCTGTTCTCATACTTGTGCTTTAGGGTGATTCTTGTGGCAACTATGTGGAAGAGAAGAGGAGAAAGACATAAAGCAAGAGGTCTAAATATGAGGCTATTATAATCTAGATGAGAGGAGGTTGAGTACATAAACTAGGGTGATGGTTATGTGAGTGTGATGAAGGGGACAGTTGTGAAAAGTGTTGTGGAGTTGGAATCAACAATATTTGGTTGCTGAGAGAGAGAGAGAGAGAGAGAGAGAGAGAGAGAGAGAGAGAGAGAGAGACAGAAACAGAGACACAGAGAGAGAGACAGAGACTGAGAATAGTTTGGGATGATTCTGGAATTGCAAATCTGTATGCTCATTGGCATGATGATGCTCTCCAGAAAAAATAGGAAAGTTTGTAGAAGGGAATAAGGGGAAGATGGTTATCTCTTGTTTGACATTCCTACTGGAAAACCAGTCAGAGATGAGGAGCTGGTACTCTGGAGAGAGATTAACATTAATATTAGATACGGATCTAGGTGTCATCTGTACAGAGGCAATACTTGAACTTTTTCTTAAAGTATTCTGGCTTATTTCAAAGGAAAAATCTACTTGTCTGTGGGGGGATATTGGCCTGTACTCAAGTAGCAGACAAGTTGACTGGGAAGGCTCACACACACACACACACACACACACACACACACACACACACACACACACATAATACATATGTAGCCCTGGCCCTATAGCAAATGCATGGGTTTACTGGGTGTGCAGTTTCTCTAACCTTTAAAAAAATGCTGAATGATCCTGAGATCCATTGAAGGAGACAGCACCCCATGAATCTGGTTTGGGGCCATACACACATACATACTTACACAAAATAAGATAATATATGATGATTGTTGTTAAATGAATTGAACAGTAAATTCTATCAAGTTTGAGGAGATAAAAGAATTAATCTTTATGGAGGTTAAGCACTTCAGCTAGGACTTGAAATATGAGTAACTCCACATAGGTAGAAAATGGATGGCATTTCAGTCAAGGGGAAGAACATATACAAAGGTATGGAGACAGTATTCCAATAGTAATATTTAAAGCAATAATGAATAGGGAGGCATGATTGATGCAAGGGATTCATGTAGGGTAGTAGAAGGATGTGGAAAATGTAGATTAGGGTCAGATTATAGAGATTCTTGAATGGTAGGCAAAGGAGTTTAGAGATAACGCACAAGGCTAGGGGTTCTTAACTTGATAGAACTTACTATCTGTTTAATTCATTTGCCACCTATTATCATCACTATCCTATTTTGTCTGTGTATGTATGTATGTATGTATGTATGTATGTATGTGTGTGTGTGTGTGTGTGCATGTTTATAGCCCCAAATCAACTGCACAGTGTCTCCTTGACCTATATGGATCTCAGGATCATTCAGCTTTTTGTGTGTGTCATAGATCTCTTTGGTAGATTGGTGAAGTCTGTGGATCCCCTTTCTCTGAATAATTCTTAAAATAAAATACATAGGATTATATAGGAAACAAATTATATTGAAACACAGTTATAGATATATATTTATGTACATATGTGTATATGCATATCCATATGTGTGTATGTGTATATATCTATATAAGCATACACACATGTATGTATGTGTGTGTGTTTTTAAACAAACAACTTTCTGAACTCCAGTATCCTTTAGGCAAGTGGTAGCTATGGAACGTTCAGACATCACAAGAAAAGTATTTTAGGAAGATTAATTCAATGTTAGTATAAAGAATGGACTGGAGTGTGGTGAATCTGAAGGCAAGGAAACCAGTTTGGAATGGAGTAAAAGAAGACTTGAACTCAAGTGGAAGGAAAGGATGGGTTGATGGATGGATGTAAGAAAACTGAAGAAAGAGTAACCATGCTTGGTGATTGTGAGTTCCTGACTTTGGTTCCCTATGTTCAGAGAATAATACATATACTTAAAGAAATGTCTGAAGTTAGGGGTGTATATAATAGGGAGAATCATGATAGCATTGATAGAATTGGGCATCCATTTTGGGGGATACTGTTTAATTATAAAGATGTTGGATTTGAGGTCATGACAGAATATTTAAATGTAGATATTCAGTAAGCAGAGATATAAAAGTAGTACAATCGGAGTTGGAGATATATGATTGTGAGTCATTGGTGCAGAGGATGAAGAGACATCCATGTAAGAGTATAAAGAGACAGAAGAGATGCAGGATAAGCACTGAATTTTTGAACTATTCACTTTTAGAGCCTGGAAGATAGAAGAGGAGGCAGCAGCAGTTTTCTTTAACTGCTGGCCGCATTCTTGTGTCACATTCCCTTTAGAGCTGTTCCACCCTACTTCCATTTGCACTGGTAGGTCAAGTCCCTATAGGGCAGTTGCTACGTCTGAGGAGCTGGGTCCTGCTCAATAGCTCTCACTGGTGTGCTCCCCATTATTAATCAGAATCAGATGAATTACATCAGGTTTTAGAAAATGGATTTACTGAGAAGTATAGCAAGAACAAATGTTTACAGAACAATCCTCCCAAACTGCAGGTCCACTCTGTCTTTGCACACAAAAAGTCCCTGGGCACAGATAGTGGGCTCAAAATTAAGGTACAGTGGTGGTAAGGTACACGGTACACGTATAGCAAAGAGACAGCACTTATCTTTGTTATGCAGGGTCACAGTCCTGAAGCTGTTACTATCTAGGATGGCCTTTTTTTTTTTCATATACATCTGCAGCCACATCCTTTCATCATCCACTACTACTCTGGAGGCCACTCTGGCCTTTCCCTCCTGCCCTCTTTCTGGTCAGGTTCCGGGGAAGCGGTAAACACCAGTTGTTATGAGATGTGGTTACTCTTAGGGTAGGCCACTCTGCAATCTCACTAGACCTTACAAGACCTATTACTGGGGATGTCCATCTCAAGGTTGATTCTCCATTACCTGACTCCTGTGGCTACTGCTTTTGGATCCAGTGGACTGCTACCAACTACGGTGGCCAGTGGAATCTCTAATGGTTCCTTCACATCTGCTGAGCTCACCAGGCCACCTAGATGCATCCACAGCAAAGAAAAAAAAAAGTAAATACAGGAGAAATAGAGACATCATGTGTTCATGGCGGTAGCCAGGTAAGAGATTGATCCACTGACTTGGCAGCTCATAGCAGTCTTTTCTTTAATCATTGCCAAAAAGGAAAAGGGAGTGAGTGATCAGCAGTTCCTCCCTTCTGTATACACACTCAGTTCAGCACCTCTTTAGGGAAAAAAAAAGCAGCATTTATTTTAAGCACCTACAATGTGCCAGGAACTGTGCTAAATACCTTCCGACTATTATGCTCTTTGATCCTCACAACAACCTGTGAGTTGTGTTATTATTATCCTCAGATTATAGTTGAGGAAACTGAAGCAAATAGAGATGAGTGACTTGACTAGAGTGACCCACTTGGAAAGTGTCTGAGGCCAGATTTGAACTTGGGCATTCCTGATTCCAGGTTCAGCACTGTCACCTAACCACTTTCTCAATCTAAAAGTTCTTTTTCAGTTCTGCAGCCAATTAGAAGCTTTTTTTAAAAAAAAATCATCATTAAATACCAACTCCTAAGTCATGCATGGCTGGAAACACATTTCAAAAGTTCTGAGTGTTAGATTCAAAATAAGGCAGGGAATTTCTGAACATGCTCTGTATAACCCCCATGAAAGGGCAAATCCTTGAAATACGTCCCACATTGGTCAGTTCTTTTCTGCTTCCTACACCTCTCCACTCCCTGCTTCATTTGCATTTCATGTTAGATCT